CGGCTGGTGAGTTCTAGGAACAGCTGGGAGGAACACGGTGACCTGGAGGGCAGCAGGGAGCTGGGGAAGAAGGGCAGGCAGGGGCCGGGTCCTGGAGGACCTCAGAGGAAGCCCAGGTAAAGAGCCTGAGTTTTATTCTGAGTGCAGTGAGACGCCAGTGGAACATTTTCAAGCAGGGGAATTACATGATCTGGTTGCTGTGTGAAGAAGTAGAGCAAGATTAGAACTAGGAAGATGAGTAACTATCATTTTTGTAGGTCAGAAACGGCCGAACATCGGCAATTTCCTATGGCTCGACCTGATTCCATTCCTACTGGACTGTCGTTGTGACCAAGAGCAGCATCTTAAGACTGTGGTGTCTGCAGCCACCGTGGCATCTTCCAACACAGACCCAGGGAGCATGGCTGCTGACCTAGGAGGAGGACCTGAGCCCCCAGGTGGCTGGTAGTGGGGGCACAGCAGGAGGGGTCTGATCACGCCCCTGCGACCCCCGCAGCACACATGACATGATTTCTCAGTTAACGTTTCCTTTCCACCACCCTCCTGGCCGCTGGGCTACTCGTGCTCTGCCCACACACAGCCAACTCCCCATCCATGCCCCTGGAGACATGGGATTATCTGCCTGACCACACACATGACATTAGTGGAAGGAGGACCTCAGCACCACTGCTGGCCTCCTGCACTTCTGATTCTCCTACTTCCTCTAGCTTCCTCTCAGGAAGGGAAATTCTTCAGGGCAGGGGAGAGGGGTCCGTGTAAGAGGTGACTGTGGTGTGTGATCAGTGTACGTGCTCTATATCACAGCAAGCCTCTGTCTACACCACGTCTGGTCCCTGTCTTGAGAATTTGGGGGTTAAGTAAAACGCAGCCTGGCCAGTTTCCAAGCCTACTTTAAGCACTCAGACCAGATTAGCATACATTCTTATTTTCCTACCCATCCACATTTTACTTAGGTGCCTACAACAGTTCTGCAATGGTGTGAAGGTTACGCTATCATACATGTGTAAGAATATGTCACAAAAGTTTATCTTTGGGCTGCGTAACCACATCTAGTATCCCGTATTTGCCATGCATTTTTAGATATCCCATGAGGTTACCATTACCACTCTTTAATTTCAAAAACAGTTAAGTGGTCTAATAATTAAACAATACTTTGATGCTATTGTACACTTGGATTTTCACATTGCTATCCCTGAATCACCGAGGAAAAGCACTTGCTTTACTCCTCAGCCACCTGGAGACTGTCAGACAGAAATCCTATCGTGGGAGAGACAATGAAACTTTCATTGCAAGTCAAATCCCACATGAGTCATTATTGATTATCAACCAGTAGAGCACTGTATTGGGGATAGAATGGGAAGAAAGGGTAAGAGCGTTTTTCTTTGAATCTATTAGAAACTAGTTATTGAGGGCCTTTGGGGCTTCCAGGAGCTGTTCTTAATTTATTCTTTCTAAGATACGACGGGTTTGTTAACATTGGTCAATTGTCTAGAGCAGCAAAATAGGCCATTGACCTGAAATAAAGTGCTTAAAATATGTAAATTACATAAAGAAGAAACCACTAAGGTATTTTATTGTCTCCCTGGAACTGAGTTCTACAAAACACCACCAAAATCAGGTCCTTTTCAAGTACACAGAAGATATACTTCTTTTGGGGGTGGAATCATCCTGACCCCAAAATAATGATGTTATAGGGAGCCCAGAGACAGTGCTGACTAGAAGATCAAATGCCGGCCACTAACGGCGGCCAGCTCTACCAGTGTGGGCTGGTCTCTTCATTCCATCTCATTTCTCAGGGGAATTCAAGACATGCCTGTGGAGTAATAGGAATGCCCCAATCCCTTGTGCAGGGAAGGCCAACACAGACAGCCACTCAAAGAATTCCATCTGTTAGACACATATAAAAATACAATGAATAAGATTTGTGTATCACTAAATACTGACACAAACAATTTCTAATACTCCCCAGTAATTTCATTCCCAACATCACCCTTGATAAATAAGAGATAATCAATAGTATCTACGAAGTGGAAATGACTTTCCTCCTGCTTCCTGATTCAACCCCAACAGGCCATGAAACACTATCATTTTGCCCAGGTATAAGCTTTTATATTAAAAAGCAATTCCCTTTTAATCATTCATCAAAATGAAGAAAGTATATTTTTTTTTTTTAGTGAATACTTGAACCAACAGTTCAACATCAAACAGGATGTCTGTCTCGAACGTTTCTGATACTGAGAGATATCCCATTTGGCTATTCTTCCTCAGAACAGAAGCCTAAACAATCAAACAAACAAAAAACCTTTTATAATGATCAAGAGTTTCTGGTAGAGAAAAAGGTTACTCTCTAGGTTAAAATAAATCACACCTAGTGATCTGAATGGTAATGGTTTATGTAGAGCAGTGTTTTTAAAAAATTCCATTATGGTCTTTTAAATGAATTTAAAGAGAGCTGCATGAACACATGCTCTCATGGGTTACTATTTAATGAATGTGTGTTTGTGTGTGTATTTTTCATAGGAGCGCCACAGAATTCAGACCACCAGAGAAAGATTATATACACCATAGTCCTCCCCAGAGATTCAGTGCCAACTCCACCTACAATAAACAAAAGGCCACGCAGAGACAGTGCCACTAAAGTGTGTGTGTGTGTGTGGGGGGGTGTTACTGCCTGCTCACTTAAAAATCCCCTTTTCAAGGCATGCCATCTCTCTGCTCAGGAGGTAGTCAGCCCAGCATCACTCTAATGCTTTCCTTCCTTACAATCTCTGTGGAAAGTTTCTTCTATCCTCGAGACCTCAGAAAGATCTATGTACTGCTTACTATGCTAAATGTATTATTGCCGTATTAAGTCGTTACACATTCCTTCCATGTGCGACACATCAGTGCTGTGGTTCGAAGACAAAGGTAATGTGCCTTCCATAAAACAGGCACAAAGACACCAAACACACTCCATACCTACATGCTAATTTTTTCCCCATAAGCTTAACAATCACATTCCGACTTGTATCTGCTACCATTACCCTTAAAAATCTATCCTCATACCATCTGCAAAACATCAATTCTGTGATTACTTTTCAGCAGACGATAAAGGCATTTCAAAAATTTTTGTGGTAAATATACAAAATAAAAACAGCATATTGCCTAGTAAATGTTCTGTCTTCTTGTTTTTACTTAATCACTCCAACATGAATACGATGCCGCCAGGAAAAGCTTGTTTAGGAATGGAAGCAGAGGAAAAGCTTTTTGGTCCCCTTTCATGCTGGTTACTTATAAGTTATCGATCTGGGGTGGTTTCTCTCTTGCTCTTTTACTCATAGAGGCAGAGGCTTCATTATTCTCACCCTAATGGCTGTCACTTTTACCCACAGATTAAATCATACATATATATATATATATATATGCATATGATGTTCACCTATTTTATATATAAATTGGCAGTATATTAAAAATATAGTGAATCATTTTTTTTAAATGATGGCAACATATCAAATAGAATATACAGTAAATTTACAGAAAACATAAACCCTGGACAAATGTTACTATACTTTATTCATTCTTATAGGCAGCTTCTTCCCCCTAAAATATAATAAATGCATATATTTTCTATAGTTTAAAATCAGAGTGGTACTTTACATAGTAAAATTTCTATTATTGGTAGATCAACTATTTCCATAATGGAAATTTATAATGATTTAATCGTCAACAATATAAACATCTTTTGTTAGAAGCACATTTTACATTGATTAGAGTCAGTTGGGCTGGGCAAGCTTTTAAAGTACTGAAACTAAAAATAGGTTTATCAGGATCTGTAAAGATATTTTTGCTAAGTGTTCACTGGCCTAAAAATATCCTTTAAAAACAATTTAGATTATTTGGCTGAGAGGTTCATATGCACATATCGACCCAGAGGCTGTGATTTCCTGTATGACAGAGTATCCGACCGAATTAGTAACACAATCCAGGTCAAGTTTACAGGCATGACAGAGTTCCCGAAAAATGTAAGAGTCTGTGGAGATGTTTCTTAACGATGGTGGTGCGAATGGATGAATGGGGAGAGGGCTGGGAAGTATGGGAAGGTGAAAACCAAAGTTGAAGAATAAAATAAGGATACAGAAAATACAGTTGAAGTGATGCTTCTTTGCTCACCGTAGTATCCTTTGTAATGAAAAGGCAACACTGATTTTCATGTACCTTAATGGGAATGTATCAATGACTGTTCCACAGACACGACATCAATCCTAGAACCACCCCAAAACTGAAACCACACACCACACTGGCCAATCTTCACAACACACCACAGAAGTAGTTACTTGTCAATTTACAAAAAAAAAAAAAAAAAGCTGCGTGCTTTATAAACACATACTTATTTTAGTGGCTCCTGGGGGTGGGGTGGGGGGATTCCATTCCTAATTAGCTTTCTGTAACACAGAAGTCAACGGTCACTAGCTAGAAAATGATGGGGGGGGGCGGGCAGGCACGACCACCTTTGTCTTTCATCCCTAGCAATGAACGTGCCAGGGAAGTGCAGACGGCTTCCATGAATCCAAGGTTGCCTGATTACTAAAATAAAACACACTTTGCACATAAATCAATAAATCAGCCTGCGATGGCAAGACGGCCAGCCGCTTACTAGACAGAATGAATATGCATGGGCACCACCTCCTAGGAGAGCCTCCGTCCCCGGACTGGATCGCAAAATGCAAAGGGGCAGTTCCAGGCCGGCGGAGCCCGGAGCGATGACACGCGACACGCCGCCCCCAGAGGAAAACGCCCGCGAGGAAGTCAGGGGCGGGGGCGACCTCGGCGCGAAGGCGCTCCGGTGAGTGCGAGGACGCCGCGGCTCACCTTGGGGAAGGGAGGCGCAGGCGGCGGGCAGCCGCTCGGTCCGTCCCCTGTCCCCTGTCCCCGTGCGGCACGGGGCCGGCGCGAGCGCACAGGGGCAGCCGGTGCCAGCCGGCAAGGACCTGCCCACCCCGGGAGCACGACTCGCCACTTACCCTGTCGGCGGCGTCGTCGGGAGACGGTAGCGGCTCCGTTAGGTCGAGGAGAAGCCCTCTTTCTTTTTTGCCATATGGAAATTCCAAGTTCCAACAAACCCGAGGCAGCAGCGGGCTGCCTGGCGGAGCGGAGCCCAGCCGCACTCCGCCCCCAGCCGCCGCCACGCGCCTCGCCAGCCCCCAACTTGCTGCGGCGGGGGCCAAAAATCAATCCCCAGCCCGAGCGCAGCGCTCCGGCGCGCAGGCAGACAAAGACTGCCTACCCCGGCAGGGCCCGAGTCCGGCTTTGCTTTCAGAGCGGTAACCTGCAAGTGGCATTACGATAAAGGGCTCCTGCACGTTGTTTTTCTCCAGAGGTTTCTTTCATGACACCTGGGATACTTAAGTCCTGACACTGTCCCAGACACTATCCCATGACAGTGGGGCAGTCATGCCCCATGGTTCTCCAAAAAGCAGTCCCACCCTTCCTGTGCCAGACCAGAGAGTGCCTGGCAGTCTCCTGCCCACCCCACCCCCGTGTTCTTTCCTGACACAGCCACCCTTCGGGCAGCCAGTCCCCAAAGACCTTCCCTGCCACAGAGCAGCCTTTAAAAGCCCCTTGGGTTTGGGGAGGGGTGGAAGGGGGGTAGGAGGGAGGGAGGGAGGGAAGAACGGAAGGAAGAAAGGGAGGAAGAATCTAGGTTTAGTCCATTCAGAGGTACCATGGTTAGTATCAATCAAATATTGCTGCTTTTAGTTCCAAGATAAACTGTTTTACTAAATGGATGAAAAATTAGAGAGAAAAAGAGAAGTCTTGAGCTAGGTGGTTTACTCTGAATACACTTAGAGCAGGAGAAATACAATGTGTGACTGTGCAGTGCTCTTTGGCTGGTGGGTCATGTAACCCCTGAGATGGGCCCAGACCACCTAGGTTTGTCACACTCCAAACACGCAGCAAGGCCTGCCAGGTGGGTGACTGAAGCAACCCGTGCCACACAGCCTTATGTGAGATTCAGTGCTATTTGCTGGAAAATATATTCAATTCTATTAAGAACTCACTACTTTTGGAATCCATGATAGACTGATAGATAAATCTGCGGAGGCTGGCCCCGGGTGGGGGAATAGCTGGCTTCCAACTTGCTCAACACTCAAGGTCTTCCACACCTGGAATCAGGGCAGGCCACGTAAGCTCAATAGGCTCTGGTTCTTCAGTAAGTCTTCCAGTTCTTGGTCCAGCAACTGATTGTTAAGAGACCTTTGTAGTTAACATATAATCCTGTTATGTTATCACATGCGCCTGTAGTGAATTTTAATTATTTTAACTAATTACCTTTTTCTATTTCTTATTCAATCATAACTATATGTGTTCTTCAAAAGCAATAAAACACCATTAGTAAAATTACCATTTTTCAATACATTAGACTGGCCTTTCTTACCATGATTCTCAATCAGTTAGAATTCATGGTACAGTAAATATAGATGTTACAACTGAAAACACAAATGAGAGAAAAATTGGAGGTTTCGCTAGAACCTCAGAATACAATGCCCAATGCTTTCTCTTCTTCATCCATGGTATGGCACACAGAAGGGTGGGATAAAATGTGATAAAGTTTCAGAATAATGGATATTTGTAGAAAGACACATATACTTTACAACAGCCAGTATGCTTTTTTTTTTTTAATTGGCTTTTAATGAGCAGCTGCAAAAAGTTCAACAACAAGCTATTAACCACTTCAGGGTCTGCTTTATGAGAAATGTGATCTGCCTGCATAACCCGGAGCCCTGCAAATTCCAGTAAACTAGGGGCAATACAGTTTTAAAAATAAATCAATATGCCAAAGTAATTGCATTGGGACATGTATGTCCTGGTAGGTAAGGGTGGTGGGGAGAGGGAATCATACTGAGATGCACCTTGTATACAGAGAGAGAGCTGCAGCTGTTTTCTCGGTTTTACCGAAAGAATGAAAAATGTCATTAGTTCTTTCAAGACAAATGCAAGCAACTGGCTTTGTTGCTGTGTCTCTCCCTCCCTCCCTCCCTCCCTCCTTCCGCGGCTTTAGAGAAAGGCTGCCTTAAGATTGTAGCAGCAATGGAATCACAGGGTCTGGCTACATTAGCAGAATCACAGACAGCACCAGGGTGATGTCTTCGCTCTCTAGCTCTCTAATTATTTACCCAGATCAAGCCTGACTGCTGGAAAATCAGCTCTCTCCAGGAGGTAACGGAGCTGAAAGGTTCTTTTCACTGAGAAATGATGGGCTGGTGGCTGGCATGGAGCCTACGGGCCCTTGTGGGCAGTGTCATGAAATAAACACCCAGGACCACACCATTTTCCTCGGTCGTTCCCAGGAAAGGTATTGGTCAGTTTTTAAAAATTAGGCAAGAAGAGCCTATCTGTGATGCAGAGAACACACAAAGATTGAAGCCCTGGAAGACACTGTTCTTAAAATTAATTTTGTGAAATGAGGGAAGGAGGCCCGCTGAGATTGTTGGTATTTTATAGCTGGAGCATCCGTTTAAAGTCCCTATATGCAGACAAAGCAGATTGCTTCATTGTTCCCACTTACGGGTGCTGTTTTCTCATGCGAGTCTCCTGAAAACAGAAAATGTTCAGGAAACATTTACGTTCTGATTTGCTCCCATTCTTACAAAAACAGAAAGCCACCAGCACTCAGGCAGCTCACAAGCTCCTCTAAAGCTCTGAGTCACTCCCCAAACTCTACAGAATAAAACATTTAGAAAAATCAATTTAAATCAATCGATATCATTTATATTTGCCTATTTTTTACAAGCTTTGTTTGAGGCCATGCTTAATTTAAATGCTTTCCACTTTCTTATTTGCTTTCCTAGGATGGCAAAACTACTGTCACACATATGCAAATTTTAAATTTATCAGGCCTGCGATAAGACAAGTCACCTTCAGATTCCTTTATTTTTCACCACTCACAAATGAACATGGCAGCCAGCGAGGATCTGGTGTGAATGTGTGGGTAAGGAACACCGCAGTGACAAGGTTCATCCGATAAATACGTGCTAGGCTTGGGGAGACAATATATGTGTTTTTGGTTAGGATTTCAAATGATGCTGTGTTTATTCTAACATTAAAATCCATTCGTATTCTCCACATATACAGCTACCTCTTAATAGCACGTTTGAGGATTCTTTTTCCTGCCTCCTGATCAGGACTGGACTTCAAAATCTGCTAAGGCTGATTAGCTTGCTGATTTTTTTTTTTTTTTTAAGGGGAGTTAATACAGTTGTGTAGCTTGCTGATTTTTAAAAACAAATTTCCCTTTTTAAAAATCCCTCTTTTTTGGCCAACTGACATGCTAACTTAGAGCTTGAGAAGCTGTGGGATTTTATTCTAGCGTTCAACATCCAACCAAACCACTTCCTTCAAGTGCAACTGGGATTTGTAATATATTCATCAAGTTTCTATAATGAAATGTTTGCATCCATGTTACAGCATCTACATTCAAAGAAAGGGGCTCAATATTATTTAGAAAGTAACTAATCTGAGTTTGCTGAAAGTCTACAGCTAGCTTCTTTTATTAGATACCACAGAAGCACATCAAGTATTCTATAGAACAAAGTATTAATAGAAGCATTAATAGAATTTTGAAGAGGGTATAAATTGAACCAGGTGGGACTATGGGGTCATCCCTGTATCCAGTATAAAAACCACTGCCCAGCTGTCTTGTGAAGCCATTTCGATATAGAAAAATTCACCTTACTGGGAGGAAAAAAAGAAAAAAACACCTCATCACATCCCATGTTAAAAAGTTGTTTCGTAGGAAAAAATAGAATTTATATTAAATCACTACTTATCAGGAGAACATTTATTAATTATAAACAATTTCCTCTTTAATACTAAAAAATAATTAAATGGAATGTAAAGGAATTTCCCATTTCTAAGTGAAAACAAAAATCTCACCATTCTCATAGCCATTACATAGAGACAATAGCGTTCAAACATAGAAACTTTTTTTACCCTCTACAGGAAAATGTTTATTGTAGTGATTAGCGTTTAAAAAGAAAAGAAAACCTCTTAGGATGTTAGGGGCATTTCTATTGCTCATAGGATTTGCAGTTGCTTTAACATTTTGAGTTTTTTATCTCAAATGTATCTAGCTCTACCCAGACCAAAATCACTGTTTTGTTCATCTGACTGCAGGGACAAGCTCCATTTTCCTTCTTGGGGCTCGCTAATGGTCCCTGAGCTGGAGGTTCCCCTTTTTATTTTTCACCCAACAGTACAAAATATAAAGTTATCAGAGCATTGGTCCATAACCTGAAAACAAATAGGCTAAGGCTGACTTGTCCAGCCTGGAAGAGGGTCAGTCAACTGGCTTTCTGGCTAACTTGGCCAGGAACTGCAGGATGGAGAGCCAGCACAATCAACTGCATGGGCGGAGGCCTGGGACTGTCAACCGGGGTAGTCCTGGGGAACAGGGGGCCACATGGGACCGCCCAGCTCCCAGCCCAACGTCCTGTGTTTTCCCCCGGCCCAGATTCCCTCGATGCCCACTGCCGTGGCCCTGGCGCTAGTCATTGACTGTGTTGTGATCCTCACGTTATGAAGGCAGACCAGGTGGACCATGAGCGCTCTGTCTCTCGAGAGGAGTCACAAGACATTAATTATAAAAACCACCACTACCCTGCAGAGTTACAGGGTCAGAGCGGTTTAAGCCATTAAAGCATCAGCGTTTGAAAGGAAAACACCATAGACCTGAAGGAGGTTTGCATTTACACAAACTTGACATTTGTGGCACTACAGCAAGCTATGGTAGGTGGCAGTTCTATTTTGCAGAAGAGGCAAGGTGACTGGAAGGAAGTGACCCAGCAAGTTCATGTCCGAGTCCAGAATTATGTCTACAGATTTCTGCGTGTTCTCCCTCAGGAGTCTGAAGCTCTGAATGTCCAGCTAATATCGGGATGGGGTTGTCCTGTGCTTAGGTGGTGACTCTGGAGGTGGGCTGGACGCAGGATGAGGGAGACGCAGGAGCCAGGGATGACAGCAGGGTTGGGGCTTATGCAGATGGCTGGCTGTGGCTCTGGTGCCTGGCAACTGCAGGAGAGACTTTCAGTCCCCTGAAATGTACCCACATCCTGGCTACCAGGAGGCTAAGAATCTCCCACAAGGGAGCAGCTGGGGCAGAGAGGGCAGGATGGGGTCCCTGAACCACACCCCTAGTTGTACCTAATGGCCTGAATCCTTGGGCCCCCCGTCTGAAGCCTACCTTGTAGAAGTTAGGTGTGGCAGAGGTGGCGGTGACAAACCTGACTCAGCCCCAACTACCCAGCCAGCCTGCAGGGGACTTCGCTCCTCGGTGAGGCCTTAGTCTGCACGAGAGGAGCTTTACTTAAAAGGGACAAGAGCCGTGTTAGCAAGTGCCTTTCAAAAATATAGGGCTGTGCACAATGGCAGGTGGACAAATACCCCTCACCCCCCCCCACCGGCAACCTCCGCCAGGCAGAGAGAACCAAAGGCAAAGGCAATGCATCAAGTACAAGCAAACATACAAAGAAGAGAATTGCTCTGATAGGACCAATCCAGCTTCCAGAACCGGGGCCAATTCCTGCCCTAATCTCATTCACCACGAAGCAACAGCACATGGAGAGAAAGCAGACGGAAGACAGCTCAGACCCTGCGTGGAACTCAGCATGGCATAAATAAATTAAATAAACAATAAATCACATAATCTCCCCAAATCCTGTGATGTGGCTGGCAGGGACCTTTTCTGATTTTAGGTGTGTACCTCACTAGAGCTGTCAACCATCTCGGCCCATATAAAACAGAGGGATTACTGCTGTCATTCACTGGATGAAAAATATCCCCAGCCATTTGTTCTGAATAGCCCTTTCCAGAAACCAGTCTTCTCTCATCGGTAACAACACTGAGCACCTACTATATGCCAGGCATTTGTCTCAGGGTGCTGCATGCACGCACTCATTCAGTCCTCGAGACTTCCCTATCAGGTAGTACACTATCTGACAGACTCAAAAACTGATGCACAGAGAGGCCAAGTAACTTACCCAAAAGCACACAGCATCGCGCAAGTA